TTTATTGCTCCACAGTGCAGGTGACAGTGCTGTCCTTATAATTAGTCCAATGTGAGGTGTTACCCTCAACCTGTCACACCTCAAGGATTTTCTACATAGGGATTATAACTCATTCCTTCCCTTAAAACACTAATAGCATTGTAGTGGGTGGGGTGTCATACTTTCAGTACCATCAATGAACTTATTAATTGTGCTTTAACATAATAGTCTAGAATTTAGCTGTCATCTGCCTGAAAAACAGAATAGGACACAGCATAGCTATGAGTGTTTTTTGAGGAGGTGGGCACACCTGGAGGGAGTAAGGTGGAATAGAGGATAAATTATCAAAAAATTTTATGAAAGAATATTTTTCTCTTTAGTCAGAAGATGATTAACCACTGTAAGAATAAACTCAGCCTGAGGCAGATCCTGTCTTGATGATCACAATGTATAAAGTATTGTCAGCTGCTGAATAAGTTGTTCTTCTACAGGCTTTATTGTGAAAAGGAAAATGATCCCAAACGACGCTCCTGTCAGACAGCATTAGCTGAAATTTTGGATGTAATAGTTCGTTCTTTTGCTCCCATTCTTCCTCACTTGGCTGAAGAGGTATTCCAGCACATACCTTACATCAAAGGTAGGAAATACTTAATTTGTTCTCTAAATGAGAAAGACCTTTGATACAGGTGGAACTTCTAATTTTATGTACTTCACGTAAGGGGCACTTACTCACATACAGTGAATGCTTTGTGATGTGATGTGCCTTGGTCCTTTAGTAGTTTCTGCACCTGTATGTCCAGGAGTGGGATGAATTTCAGAATGGTCTTTGACTTATGTCCAGCACTTTCTGAAATGTATGAGCAGCTTGGCAGTATTGAGAAATCACTTTTTCTTAAATACTGTTATAAATGTTTTGAAATATATTTTAGGTTTTATTAAAACAAAATACAGTGTCTTTGAATATTTTATCATAGTTTTTTCCTCTGATTGTATTAAACTTATAAAAATTAGAAATTAAGTTTAGAAAGAGGAAAAAAATCACTCATAATGTTACTACCTATAGATGATGACTGGAATATCTCTATTTTATTTTTTTCTAAGCATTGTTTTGAGCTCTTACTATATATTTTATCTTTTGTTTAAATGTAACAAATTATTTCCCAATGCTGATATAAATGTTTGTAACTGTTTAGGAGGGCTTCCATAGTGTTTCATCCCGATTACCGTAAATCTTATTTCCCATTAATGGTAACTAATGGTTAGAGCTTTATGTACAGTTTAGGATATATGTATCAGTTTGCTTTATTTTTTTATTTTATTTTTTTTTTATTTTTATAAAAGAGCCCAAGAGTGTTTTTCGTACGGGGTGGGTTAGTACAAGTTCTATCTGGAAGAAGCCTGGCTTGGAGGAAGCAGTGGAGAGTGCGTGTGCGATGCGAGATTCATTTCTCAGAAGCATTCCTGGCAAGAATGCAGCTGAGTGCAAGGTTATCATTGTGATAGAGCCTGGACTGCTTTTCGAGATCATAGAGGTATGTGGCAATTTG